TACCTATTGCATCTTGACTATCAAAGTGTATGCTTACTAATGCTAAAGGTTTAGACAAAAAAAAGTAATATCTATCAAGAAATTCAGGAGTCTTTCAACTTATTCACCGGCCTTATCTAGAGCACCTAGCTCAGAGATCATTGTAGAGCTAGTGATACATGTCTTTTTGGAAGATTTCCAAGAGACTGCTCCTCCACCAAGAGTAAATATATATCCACTCGTGGATTTTACTTCATTTGATCCCGGTGATCCAATTTGCATCACTATTTCCTTTCAATACTGTTGGATATTGTTATAATGCAAGACATAGCTTTGAGTATGTTTTAAATACCCCAAAACTCTTTTCATTGCCATCCAATGAGTTTGATTGGGATTACTCGTGAACCGACTCAGTTTTCTAATAGCACGTATTGTATCTGATCGCGTACACTTCTTGATATAAATCATACTTCTCAATGCTCTAGCACAATCTAATTGTGAGTCACTTTCGCCTTCACTCATTTGAAATGCAAAGCTCACATTTATTGGAGTCTTGACAATATTGAAATCCAAATATTTGAACTAGTCAATTACCTTTTCGATGCAATGAGACCGAGAGAATGCTAAACATTATAGAGTTCTAAGGATTCTTATACCTAAGATCGCATCAGCAACTCCAAGATCTTTCATATCAAACTTATTTCTAGCATACGTTTAGTAGCATTTATGTCATTAGTGTCTCTACTGATGATCAATATGTCATTAATATACAAACAAACAATGATCGTGTGATTTTAATGTAAACACATTTATCACTTCCATCATTCTTAAATCCATTTGCAAACATGGTTTGGTCAAATTTCTTATGTCATTGTTTGGGTGCTTGTTTTAGTCCATAATGTGACTTAACAAGTCTGCACACTTTCTTTTCTTTTCCAGGAACCACAAAACCCTTGGGTTGTTCAATGTAAATTTCTTCCTCCGATTCTCCATTTAAGAAAGTTATTTTCACATTCATTTGATGAATTTGGAGGTCATATACCACAACTAATAATATTAACATTTGAATGGATGTAATTCTAGTTATTGACGAGTATATATCGATAAGATCAAGACCTTGTTTTTGTCTAAAGCCTTTGACAAAAAGTCTTGCTTAATATTTGTCAACAGTTCCATCTACTTTCATTTTCCTTCTGAAGATTCACTTTGAACCCAAAGGTTTATTTTCTGGAAGAAAATCAATTAACTTCCAATATAGTTATTCAAGAATGCATCAATCTCATTATTGACACCATCTTTCCAGAAGGATGAGTCTACATAAGACACAAGAAATGTTACAAAATCATATTCGAAGGAAGTAGATGCCCTTTGACATTTACTATGCCTCTGAATCTCTTTATTAAGTACTTTCTATTTTTTTCTTTTCAAGGTCTTTTAGACCCTTCACTAGACTACTCAAGTCTAATCTTACAGTCCACAATCATAGGTCCTAGTTTAATCCTTTTAGGAATAGGAACTTGGACTTTGGCTAGACACCCCCCACACTTTGAAGTATTTCAAGTTGGATTTCCTTCATTTTCCATTTCTCATATGGAATAGATTGTATCCTGAACAAACAAAATTGCTTTCTTTTCTGAAAAGACAACTTTTTTGTTGTTCCTTTTTGCAGTAAGGATAGTTCCTCCACACAAGTCTTGTGGTAAACCTGAACTTATAAGTAATGCAACCATCATTTTTTTCAAAGTTCAGTTTTATTTTCATTCTGCAATTCCATTAGATTTAGGTGAATAAGACAGTAGTTTGATGGATAAATCCATTTTTCAAACATATTTATGCAAAAGTAGATTTATATTCTCCATCCCTATCACTTATTATCTTTTTCCCAACTGATTTTCAACTTCAATATTATATTTTCTAGACATTTCTATTGCTTCATCATTACCATTCAGCAAATAGACATAGTCATTTCTAATCCAATTGTCAATGAAACTTATGAGATACTTTTTCCCACCGCGAGATGGTGTTGACTTCATATCACAAATGTCAGTGTAAATCAACTCTAAGGGATTAGAATTCCTTTCAACAGATTTATAAGAATGCTCACCATACTAAGATTCCACACAAACTTGACATTTTTATTTTATTGCACTCAAAGTTAGACAAAACTTCTAAGTTGATCAGTTTTCCTTACAAGGTTTTGTAATTGACATGTCCCAAGTGTTCATGTCACAAACAGTTTGACTCAAAAAAGTAAGAACAAATAAAAATATTGAGTTTGAAAAGCTCTCCGCGAGGTAGCTTTTTCTCACAAATATTTTGTTCCTATTTTTTACAATTTTATGTGCTACAAACTAACATAATACAAAAGTATCATCGAATTTCATATCTTGTGCTCCAAATTTAAATTAGACACTAAGTCTAATTTTATCTTTGTAATAAGCATAGAACCCCCACATTTTAAATATGATCTCAAAAATTATTTTCAAGTATTTGAAAATAGTTTTTCCACATATTTTTTTTCTCATGCTATCAAAGTGTCATTGGCAACATGAAACCTCTTTTGAAAATATTATTCTACAAAAGAATTATAGTGCTTCAATTCTCTTTGACATCTTTACACAATGTCAAAGTTCATTTCATAGAGGCACAAAATGACAAACTCTAAGTCACTGATATTTTTCCTCTATCACAAATAGACATACCACTTAGTATTTAGAATACTAACAATAAAGACAAAAAAAATTTGTACAATTTATCTCTATATAACAGTGAAGTTTATAGAAAGTCAAAAGTACAACATTGACTTATTATGTGAAGTTTTCATATTCTTCAAACCAATAGCATCGTGTAATTTATCCAGAGTAGAAAACTATAAAAGTTTTTAGTCTACAAAAATCAGACACAATCAAATTTCACACGGAGTACAAAACTACAAAAGTTTTTTTTAGTCTCCAAATAGAATTAAACATATTCTTAGAAACATTTTGACATACTATTTTATCAAACAAAAATATGCATCTCTCATTCTACAAACTGAAGAATTTTAAAGGCAACACTTTTTGCCAAGGAAAATTCATTCAAAAATCATATGGTTTGCAGATCTTTTTCCAAAGACATACATGCTAAATATTACCAAAGCTATTAACTTTTATAAACTATTTTCCTCCTTAGATAAATAATAAGAAGGTTACCTGGTGCAATCTTTAACCTAAATACCACCAATTCTTCCAGTACATTCTCACTTCGACCTTGCTAAACAAAGCACCGAATTATGGAGAAGTAATGCATTAATCTTCTACTTCCATGAACTGTTTCTCTCAATCAGTAGAATACAAGAAATACCAACAGTATAATAATTTCCTTAAGATTGTTGTTCATCTTGTAATCCTAAGATACTTAGAACAAAACTTTGAAGAACTTGGTAAGAAACAACAAAGTTTTAAAGAAAATTTTCAAACTAGAAAATTAAAACTAGTAGAGAAAATAGAATCAGAAACAAGTTAGAAACAATATAAAAATATTTTTCTCAAAGAAAGAAAATCGAGTCCACTGAATGCAAAGTGTCCCCTTAAGGAAATTATTCCCCTCAAGTACCCGAGGTTAATGGAATATATCCTCCTAGGATAGAACGATCTTACTCACAGGTGTATCGATACCTAAAATCACGGTGTCAACGAATCACTCAACGACAGTAAAGTACACTTAGAATACTACATTTAGTAGTAGTAGAAGAAGTCCAGGAAAAAAAAATTGTTCGACTAAAATGAGAGGAAATCCCTCAATTTATAGAAAACAAAGGGTAGTGTGAAAATGTTCTTATTGTGCCTTAACTGGAAAGGTCACAAACCCTTGGAAAAGTCACAATCTTTCATAAAAGTCACAACTTTTCATAAAAGTCGCAACTCTTCATAAAAGTCGCAACTCTTCATTTTCCATCCACACCTTTTAAAACCCAACAATTCCCTAAATGTCATTAATTGCAAAACATTCTCCAATTGAAGTCTAGAAAATTTTAACTTACTTCATTCTGAAGCACAACAATCATAAACTAGTTTTTCCTTTTCTTGAGCCTTTGAGTGCTCCCAATCTATCAAATATTTTACATGATTATATGAGTGTATTGGTACTCATATTGACATATAAAAAATCTGGTAAATAATAACAAAAAATCAACCCAGAACCCTAGATAGAGAGAAGTGTGAGTGATTTGCGTGTGGGTAAGAAAGTGGGTCGGGCCAGTTTAGAATTAAAAATGGGGCTGGTTTTTCATTTATTAATACCACGACATGTGACTTTTTAAAGGTGAAAATGAAATCTAATTAGAGAGGTAAATATTGCTAATTTTAGTGGATGAAGGATAAATATGACTAGTTTTAACGGGTGAAAGGTAAATATAGTTTTAAATATCAATTATTATGAACATCATGATAATTTTTTTAATATTAATTATTGATTTTTCCATCCCTATTTACTTGTCATAATTTAACTTGACACACTTATTATGAAAATAATTATTGGTTAATAAGTCTACCATTTTATCCTACTAATTGATAGGGTCCCAAACATATTTACTCGCTATATTTTTTAAAGACATTACTTAATGTTAATAAATTGAGGGAATAATAATTGTCATGGCTTGATTTGTCAAAAATGATAAGTAAAAGGAGAAATTAAATTAGGAAATATTTGACAAGTATATAAGGACGGAGAGAGTGTTTTTTTAAGATATGTGCAAATAAAAGTGAGGGAGGGTGTAATAAGTATTGAGAATGAGATTTGACAAGTAAATGATGTTTCTTGTTTGGTTTGGTTGGAGTTTTGAGCTGCTCTATTTCTTTACTTAATTATTCCCATTTCCTTTACAATCTCTCGAATGGGACGTTGAATGAAACAAAAAATCATTTACTTCTTGTCAAAGCATTCACTTCATAGAACACAAATATATCATGGGAGTGATGAAGTGTCAATAAAGATGGGGAATGACAAATGGAAGAAGAAGATTGATCATGATGGAAAGCAAATCGTTTTGTGCGTTGAAAGATTGCAAGATGAGTTGGCGAAGATTAACCAAGAGGCGAGTGGTGAATTGTTGAAAGTTGCACAAAAGTACAATCGGATCCATCAACCGATCTATGAGAAGAGAACAAATATTATTAAATATATTCCTGACTTCTGGTTGAAATCTTTCCTGAAGCATCGTGGCCTTGTATGTGCAGAAGAGGACCGCAAGATATTCGAGTTTCTAAGCTCAATCAAACTTGAACAGTCTCAAGATGTCAAATCAGGTTATAGCATTATCTAAAATTTTGATTGAAATTCATATTTTGAGAATGCAAAGCTTTGGAAAAAGTATATATAGGTGTCAATACAATGGGCACAAGGCAAGGGAGTTGATGAACGAAGCTTCTTTAAGTGGTTCAGTGAAGCTGACAAAAGGGATGAAATCGGTGAGATGATCAAGGATGAACTGTGGTCCGATCCTCTCATTTGTTTTCATTATGAGGCAGAGTGTTGATGATGTGGCAGTGAAGGACACTGAAGTTGAAGAACAAAATTATTAGAGGTTGGTTCCTTGTGCCTTAGAGTGTAACGGAAGACTTATGCTTTCTCCATAAATGAGAATGTCTATCACATTGACTACAAGGAAAATACACTAACTGTCTCATCTTCTTGGACTCTTTGTCTCATTGTGAGTTTAAATTGTCTCATCTTCATGTGAGTTTTTCTGAGTATGTTTGATAATTTGATTTGGTATTAATCTGCTGCTGACATGGTTACACTTTTATTTTGATAATATATAGAACTTGTATCTCCATATTTGTAATTACTTAAATCATAGACAGTTCATTGTTTGTTTATTCAGGTTAGGCCATCGTAATTTGTTCATCTCCTTAGTAAACTAAATACGACTGCTTAATTAGTTCATGTTGAGCTTGCTGATTGATCTTAGAATGGACTGCATTATTGTAGCCAAACCTAGGCTAAGGCTTCACAACAACAATACTAAGGTGATTCTAGCCTAATTTCAACTCACGGGTGCAAAGGTTCTCAACTAATAACAAGAAATCTCAAGAATTACCCAAAACACACAAAATAAGGTCAAAACGACACAAGAAAGGAACGAAACATGAAAAATCATGATAGAAACCTGCCCCGCACTTAGCTAATTAGCATGCTAACAATCACAAACAAGGTCTAAGGATAGCAAACATGCGCTCCAATCACAAACATGCGCTCCAAAATCTCTTAACAGACGCTTTTCCGTTCCAAACCGCCTCCGAACGGTGCCACACTATCGAAGTAATGATCCCAACATCAATACAATCATTTAGACACCCAATTCACAATAATTAAAGATGGAACTAAAAAGGGGACAAAAATGGTATTGCAAGACCTGGGCCAGGAATCCTTAAATTGACTCCGTCAATGGGATCCCAACCAGCTCAAGGAACTTGCGCCCCAAAAATGGGCACAATTTGAGCTTCAAAATGCCTCGAAACAGATCATGCACCCAAGACTTTGAGAATTCACAAGAAAGAATCAAAGAAACTTATGAGTTTAGCGGGTGAATTACGATTCTATCAACTCCCGACACGCTCCCTCAACACTTCCCAATCAACAACACAGAAATCCTACAAGAAAGAAGCTCACAAGTTTGTTTTAAGAAATACAAAGTCTCAAAAAGAACAACTGAAAACGAGACTTAACCACGAGTGATGACTGCAAAAGAGGCTAGGTCTCTGGCCGCTTAAAAGACATCCGCTAAAGCGTTCCATGGCCGCTTAGGTGGCTACACCAGCTCAGGAACCAACAAATTTAGCAAAGTCCGAATGGACTCAGCTCTAGTGCTTGGGATTGGTTTGGAAAACCATACACACAAAAGAGCTATGCTACCCTACCAAATTCAATAATCTGGACTCAACGGAGATGTCGAAACTTCCAACAGACGTTATCTCAATAAAAAGTGGGTCCCACAGCCAAAGCTCTAGTTTAGCCTAAATCCACAAGGTAGCTCGAGATGATTTTATAAGCCTCAAGACCTAAACCAAGGCTTCTTCTAGACCAAACTCAATGTTCAAAAACTAACAAAACCAATATCAAATTGCATTTTGAGGTTGTTTACCTGTGTTTTGACCGAAGTCAACCGTCTAAATTTCAAAAACTCCAAAACAGAGAAACTTGCATAAAAACTAAACGAACGACCAAAAAGCTCTAAACATCAAAAATATTGCACTACAGAGAAAATGGCCAAGAGGGTTATTACAGCTTAGAGGCATTGTAAATTAAAAGTTGACATGCCTTCGATTTGAGAAACTTGTTCGACTTGATCTCTTTCTCATGCCTATCATCCCACCATCTTCATTAGATTCTTTACAAATCAATGTACTTAATTATTACTTATATAAAAGTAACTCCTATTATGTGAGTTATAGAATTTATTAAATGGTGAAGAAACTAAGAAGAAGTCAAAATACCTCCGCATAAAAGTTTTCTTTGAGTTTTTATTTTGTCTAGGAAATTACTTGGCTTTGTTGAATTATTGCCTTTCATTGGTTTACACAATTGTTACTCAGCATTGCCTTCGATCTTCTGGCTGTCCATCATTTTCAATGTTGTGTGGAACATACATTCCGTAAACATCCTCGACTTTCTACGGTAACACATATATAAGAAAACAGAAATTTCCTATATAATTATAATTGTACAATTATATAGTATGAAAAAAACATCTTACTTGTCTTGCACTATTCTTAATAGGAATGATTAAGTTAAGTAGGTTAGATTGTGATAACTGATATACAGTGGATGCAAGAAATTAGAGATGTATATAGCTAGTATATATATAACTGATATCCTTGTATTGCTTTTTGTCACTAGCCTCAGAACTTACATGAATATTCAAATTCATGTAAACAAAATAATAATGTAATAATCAATACAACAGAGAAGAAGTTGGTTTTGCAACATGTCACCATTCGATTTTTGATGCCACCGTCCAGTTCACCTACTAGAAATTGAATAAACTTTTTTTGACGCTACCGACCATTGCATTTGCACCATCCTATCAAGTTGTCGTAAAGGTGTGCAAACTGCAATAAATAACCATTTTAAGTAGCAATTAACCTTGTATAATTTTTTGACGAAGGGTGTGTCCGCATGGCCACCCTCAACTAAAGATGCCAACGAGGCTGTAATATCCCGAAAATTTCTAAGCTAAGTCCCAAACCATTCTTTAAGGGAACTAAGTATTTCCAAGTGTATCATTTTTACATTGAGAAAAGAGAAACTTTGATTTCTAAAAAGAGTTTGAGTTCAGAGATATTTTAGAGCAGTTACCGTTTTTAAGAGGTTATTTTGAGTAATTACCTCAAAACAGAGAAAGAGTATTTTTATACATTTAACCATGAGTATATTATTGGGAGTAGTATTAAGCACCAATATGAATATGAGTTCATAAAACTCAAAATCCTCATAAACCATGTCTACCAACATGGGTAAAGGATTATACTTTTTAGATGAATCCTTATTGCTTAGTGGATTCACTTAGTTGAGAGGTTCTATACCCTGGCACATTATATGACAGTTCAAGCAGTGTGGGTGAGATGTTGTATCATAACGTAGCTCATAGTGATGATTGTCGGTTAGATAATCTCCCAACTAGAGTTAGAGTGTATTTTCATTTATCACCTATTATGTTGAGTTCAGATACGAGATATGAGTAAGTATTTGTAAAGTTATAAATTATTTAACTCTTATTGCTTTACATTCAGCTTGCATATATTTTATATGTTGCAATCCCTTCTTCAGTTATTTCACTTCTACTATCTAACATACTCGTACATCCATGTACTGATGTCATTCGACCTGCATCTTTCTGTGATGCATATACATGTGTTCATGATCATCAACAGGCGCTTCGTTGAGATCACTTTGCACTTCAGATAGCTATTGGTAAGCCTCTTTGCATACCGAAGGACTTCACATTTACTTTTAGTTTAGTAGCTTTGAGATGTTATGGGTTTTTGTCCCGGCACCTATCTTACTATTAGAGGCTTAATAATAGTTAGACTTGAGATGTCCTTAGAGTCCTTGTTAAACTGTTTTACAACTATTATGTTTATTACATTGAGTATTTTCAAACACTTGAGTTTAGGATTGACTTTGAGTTTACATGATTGAGTTCTACTTTAAGACGAATATTGCTTGAGTAGGTCTTCTATTAAATAGTCAACCAAACTAAGGGTTTGCTTATGAACCAATAGTGGTTCTCGAGTGCCGGTCACATTCACAATATAGGGGGCATGACAAACTTGATATCAGAGCAAAGAGTTATGGGGTGTCTATGAAGTCGTGTCTAGTAGTGTCCTTCTTATCGGTGTGAAGCGTGTCACATCTATAATGAGCAAGCTATGACATTTAGAAATTTTTCACTTTCTTCTTACTCTTGTTCGTGCGATAGATTTCAACTCTATAAAAGTTTCTTCTAACTTGTGCTTACGCGTGTCTTTTACAGATCATGCCTCTATGAAGAGTTGTTCGAGGACGTCCTGTTAGGAGGAATGCTAATCCTCAAGGTCAAGAAGCTCCCAATGCACCAAAAGTGCAACCCCCTCATGAGATGTCACCAATGCTGAGTTCTGGAATGCTATTCAGATGCTAACTCAAGCTGTGACAAATCAAGCTAGTCAACGAGGAGTGGGTCATCAAGATGTGACTGATACATTTGGAATTCATGAGTTTTTGAGTATGAATCCCTAGAGTTCACAGGGTCAAAGATCACTAAGGACCTAGAGAACTTTGTGGAAGAGCTTCAGAAAATGTTTGAGGACATGTGCGTTGTTGATTCAGAGCATGTGGAGTTAGTCTCATATCAGCTCAAAGATGTTTCTAGGATATGGTATGATCAGTGGAAGAAGAACAGGGTAGAGGGGGCACCACTTTTGAGCTGGGTTGTGTTTGAGAATGCTTTCTTGGGGCACGAGAGCTAAGTGAAGCTAAGGTAAGAGGGTTTCTGAATCTGAAACAGGAAGCTATGAGTGTGCAGGAGTATAGCCTCGAGTTTACTTAGTTATTCCTGAATCTAAAATGCTCCTCGACGCACGAGCCTAGACTGCAAGTTGAAATGCTCCTTAAGGTACGAGCAGAAACTACTTGTTAATCCTGGCCTACAAGAGTATAAATTGTGTATGACCCAAAAAATAATAAATAAAATTCATCATCTTGAACTACGATATGACTTGATCCTCTTCACCAAGGTACATAGGCGCTAGAAGTAATCACTCTAAGCTCAGTAACATGAGTAAAAAAAGAGGTTTGTGGCATTGTATGATCATCATAGTAGCTCTTTAAAATTACATAGCTAGCACGTGAGTTCAAATGAGTCACAAATGAGCAAAGGAGAAGAGTTAAGCAAGGCAAAGTCTTAGCTGACTTGAAAGGCATATTTGTGAAAGTCCGTAAAGGTTTCGACCATGATTTTGACACATATTTCAGTTCTTGGAGTCCACTTTGCAATGGAAAAATTGGCTCGTGATTCAGAGATTTCTACACTAAGTTATGAATTTTCTACTACAGTCTCTCGAAGCAGAAAAAAAAAGATCATCATATTTTGGAGTTGATGTGAGCAGAACTCAAAGGCATATTTGAGAAAATTCATAAAGTCTTTGGCCATGATTTTTACAAATGGTGTAGTTATTTGAGACCTCTTTCCAACAGTACAAGAAACTCATGATTTCGGTACTCCTACTTCGAGCTATGAATTTTCTACTACAGACGCGCAAATCTGAAGAGCTTAGCAAGACAGAATTATGGGCTGACTTTGAAGCAATATCTGTACAAATACATAGAGTCTTTGGCCCTGATTTTTATACATGTTGTAGTTCTTTGAGTCATCTTTCCAATGGAACAAGAATCTCATGATTTCGGTACTCCTACTCCGACTTATCAATTTTCTACGATAGACGCGCAAAGCTGCGAAACAGACATATCAGATCTAGAAATCAACTTCAGAAATTAATTTTGATCAATTTGGAGGGAGTTTTGGTCTGAAATCTTGATATATTGCAGAAAGTTGAGTTCCGTTTCTTTAGGATCAAGCGGATTGCAATTCCATTGCTCATACCTCTGGGAACGGATAGGTTCCAAGTACTTACTCACCGAAGTCGGAAAGGGCTTCTCGTAATGTCAATCTCTCCAAGCCAGATGGAACGTGGTCACTCTTAGCCTCTTTATCGCCAAGACTCAAGGATAAGATGCACCACGTGCTCTCCCACCAAGAATGGAATGTTTACACTCGAAACTTCTTTTTCACAAGGCAGCAATGATGGCCACAAACTACTTGCTCGTTGAAGTTTGAAAGGACTACCTCTAGTGTTGCCAAGGAGGGGTATGTCCGCTCCAAGATCCTTTATTTCCAAGAAGTAAGGAAGTGACATATAAAATGGTTCAGCGTCGATCATATGGACATCTGGTGGATTCCTTACTGATGTCAAGATCATTTATGCTTTCTGATAAACCTACAAAAAAAAAAAAAGGATAACGAAGCCCATGGTGCTAACTGTACAAAGCTTCTTGTTTCTATGTAGTTCGGTGCAAATGGCATGAAGTTTCAGTTTCGCAGGACAAGCATTAATAGTCGCACAACAATCTAATTGGACAGATATCAACGTTAATAGTATGACGCTTTAACTTGCGGCCTAGATCACTCTTCAACAACTACTGCTTAAGGCTTGCATACGTGAATCTTCTGGTGCAATTTTGATGAATAAAGATCAAGTCATTTCTTTGTCAACTACAAAAAAAACGAAAATCATATGCAAAAAAATGGAAATCTGTGAGAAAACTCATCAAATTCGTAAACCAACTTCAAAAATCAATTCTTGTCAATTCAGAAAGAGTTTGATATTGGTTTTTGGATATTTCATAGTACTACAAGTCTAGTTTCTTCACAACCAAGACACTCGTCATTTGAATGCCCCTACTCCAAGAAAAGGATGTTTTGGCGAGATTGGCCATAACTGTGAGAAGAACTTCCAGATTTGGAGACCAACTTCAAAAATCAATTTCCGTCAATGCGACAGGTTTTTGAAGTTGATTTAGATATGTTGTAGTACTAAAAGTCTAGTTTCTCCATAATCAAGCCGCTCAACATTTGAATGCTCCTACACCAAGAAAATGACGTTTTGGCGAGATTGCACATAACTGCGAAAAGAACTGTCAGATTTTGACACCAACTTCAAAAATCGATTCCCGTCAATCTTAAAAGTGTTTAATGTTGATTTTTGGATATGTTATAATAATACAAGTCGATTTTCTTCAGAATTAAGCCTCTCGTCATCTGGACACTCCTACACTAAGAGAATGACATTTTGGTGGGACTGCACGAAATATAGAAATAACACACCAAATTTGGAGTTCTACTTCAAAAATATGTTACTATAAATTCAAAAGGATTATTCCAATGATTCTTTGATGAATCCTTTGTTCATGAAAGAGGTTTATATAGAGGTTCCTATGAACAATTCTCATTCTTTGTACAAGGAAAGTTGTGGTAAAATAGGAAGAAACAATTTAAATCAATTCTTGCTCATCTAAATGGAAGATCCTAACACTCAAAAGGAGAGCAATATTGCTTAAGATTTGAAGAATGATTCTTACAAATTCAAGAAAATGAAATAAAGTTTGGTGTGATTGTTAAATTACCACTTGTTTCCAAGTTGAAGGTTTGCAAAAAATGTGCAAATCAAGCTATGTTCTTTTTTTTTTAAAGTCCAACGTTGGGGACTTGTGTGGCACTTGTGAGTATCGGTGTCCAAATTTGCATTCAAGTCTATGGTGAAAGTTTATTCAAACTTAATATTCATAAAGCTTTGCCACATTGGTTTGCTTATCTCTCCCTCGAGAGTCCTCCATATCATCCATCGGTTGGATTGAAATAACAAAAGTCCTTATGAACACATTGAAATGGAGTTGCACATGACCTTAGCATACAACTAGTTTCATCACAAGAAATGGAGTCAAGCAAATATCTTAAGAGTAATATTATCGAATTCATAATACTTCAAGTCCCGCCATCAAATGTCGGCAAGCCCCCTACTTCAACAAGCCTTGAAGGAGGGGGCTTTTGTAGACATAAATTTAATTGGATTAAATTCATACGGAATTTGAATTAAATTTCTATTCATTTGGGTTAAATGATAATTTGAGTTTTACATATAATTAAGTTTATTTTATTAAATTAAAATTCAAGGTCCATTTCACCTCTAATACCTAACCCATGACATGTGTCACGATGACTAGGCATCCAAGACCAACAAGGTGATGCCAGTGTCCAAATGAGGTGGAAGTCCTAGTCAAATTCAAAAATCAATCTCAATCTGTCAAGTGTCAAAAATGATATCCTTTGGCCAATTATAAACAACCTTGTCCACCTCCTACAATTATAATTTTTGTCATTCTGCCTCTGCATGCCTTGTCACTTACATATGTACAGTAAATTTAATGGGGTACTCTATCTCCCTTGTCTTATTTAAGTAATAGGAGTACCTTATACTAACCTTTTTTTTTTGGCTTAAGTCATCGCTAGCCACTTACAGTTATCCGCATAATTCACTTAGACACCTGAATTCAGGCTTGTACCTATTGAACACCTCTACTCCTTCGAATTTGAACCATTTTAACATTTTTTGAACAATCAGCTAAAAGTATAAAATGAGTGATATACACTCGTGGTGACGTGGCAATTTGGCAAATTAAATAATGACATGTGTTATTTGGATCCAAAAAAATTATTTTAAAATGTATTATAATTTAAAAGAAAAAGGAAATTATTATTATTAAAAAATGTGTAAGCCCGACCCACTCACTACCCAAACCCTTCCAACTGCAATCCATTCCAGCTACTTCAACATTGTTCAAAAACTCCGGCGGCCCTGCAATCTCCAATAATTTCAATCATTATATTAATGCTTCTATATGCACTTCACATAAAAACATGAAAAAGGATATAGTTTTGTTATTGTCTATCCATTTAGATTAGTATTTTGCTTCTACAATTGAAAAAAACAGAATAGTAAATTAGAGAAATTTACTTTGAAAAAGACGTCAAGAGCAGACAGGAGCTCCGACGATGAAGAAGTGTTAAGAGTTAAAAATGATTTGTAAAGATTTTGTGGAACTTCATTGTTTTCGTCGTCGTCGACTGAGGTCCTTGTTCTTCTTCCCTCGCCGGAGTATCCTTGTGAGTGACAAACTCATTGTTATCAGCGGCCAGGATCGGAATAAGCCCTTTGAGTTACTTTTGGTTCGTCAGAATTGTCACAAAGTAAGAGTTAAATTGCAAATTTATAACTTTGTTTGGCTTCCATAAATCAACAATATGACAAAGATTCAGTGAAAAAAGGAAAAGAAACAAATTTTTAATCGATCTAGATTCGAAGAAAACAATAACGAACAAGCAGAGGCGGAGGCGACGACTGCTGCTTGATGATTTGGTTGAGGAGTAGTGGCAGCAACCACAAAGAAGAAGAAAGATAAAATAAAAAAAATAAAAAAAAAGTCTAATTAAATATTTTCACATTTCACGCGCTCAGTATACGTGAATCACACTCAAAATGCCATGTAGGCAAAAAATGCTCAAATGGTTAGAATTTAGACAGGTAGAGGTGTTCAATAGGTACAAGCCTGAATTCAGGTGTCTAAGTGAATTATGCGGACAACTTTAAGTAGTTGTTGATGACTTAAGCCAATTATAAATAGGGGATAGACATGACATTCTCAGTAGAATTCTAGGAAAACTCTTCAATAAGTATTCTGCAAGGATTGGAGAAAGTTACAACATCGATTACATAGTTATTCGAAAAAGTGGTAAACAAAGTTCTTCTTGGAGATCGACTTGAAACGACGAAGTGCTTCCCAACGTTCCTGGAGATCAAACACATCTCAAGGAGGTCTACATCATCCTACATTCGAGAAATATGCTACTGAAGGC